GGGAATTTATGGGGTGGGAAAGGGGATTTATGGGATGGGAAGGGAATTTATGGGGTGGGAAAGGGAATTTATGGGGTGGGAAGGGAATTTATGGGATGGGAAGGGAATTTATGGGGTGGGAAGGGAATTTATGGGGTGGGAAAGGGATTTATGGGATGGGAAGGGAGCTTGTCCAGGTCTCTGTGGATGTCCCCATCCTCCGGAATTGTCCCTTGGTGTCACCTGCAAACCCCTTTGTTTCCATCGTTAATGAGAACATTAATTAATGCTGGCCCTGATGGGAGCCCTGGTCACCACTGGTCACTGATGTCCATCAGACTCTGGGTTGGTGACCAAGTGGTTATTCCACAAAAGTTCCACAAATGATTGTGGGTCATTCCACAAATCCCTCATCCATGATCCCACAAATTCCTCATCCACCATCCCACAAATTCTCGTTTATTAATTGTCCACCCGTTAATTGTCCACCCATTAACCCAACTCCATTTCGGAGAGGAGGATGCCACAAAAACCTCACAGGATTCCAAAAATCAGGGTCTAAAACCTTGGGGATGACCCCAATCATGGCCAGATCCTCCTAAAAACAGGGATTTATTTTCCTGGGGTTCTCTGCTTCCAACCTTCCCAAACCTCCCGGCAGCTCCCGTTTCCCCTCATTTTTGGGACAGGATCTGCAGGATTTGGTTCTCTCCTTACCTTGGTGGGGAAGTAGCGGCTGAATTTGAATTTTTTCAGGGTCAGGGTCATGGAGTAGGTGCCAAAGAAGAGGATGAAGGACATGAGGGCCAGGTCGGGCACGAATTTGCAGGATTTTCCCACTAAGCTGCCGCCGTATTTGAGACATTCCTTCTTACTCAGCTGGGTCCAGTCCAGAGCTGTGAGGTTGAGAGCATTGGACTGGCAAGAAACCCGAAAAAAAGCAAAATTAGTGAAATTAGGAATTATTGTGGTGTGCAGGGAAAAGGGGAAGTTCAGCCCAAATCCAGCANTGCTGGGATTTCCTTGGGGATCCCCAGTGGGATCTTCATGGGGATCCATCATTGGGATCCTCCTTGGGGTTTTGATTGGGATCCCCATTGGGATTTCTGTTGGGATCTTCACTGGGATCCTTGTTGGGATTTCCATTGGGATCCCCATTGGGATCTTCACTGGGATTCTTGCTGGGATTTCCTTTGGGATCCCCAATGGAATCTTCATGGGGATCCATCATTGGGATCCTCCTTGGGGTTTTGATTGGGATCCCCATTGGGATTTCTACTGGGATCTTCACTGGGATCCTTGTTGGGATCCCCATTGAGATCTTCATGGGGATTGTCATTGGGATCTCCATTGGGATCCTCCTTAGGGTCCATGATTGGGATCCCCATTGGGATTTCTATTGGAATCTTCACTGGGATCCTTGTTGGGATTTTCACTGGGATCCTTGTTAGGATCCCCATTGAGATCTTCATGGGGATTGTCATTGGGATCCTCCTTGGGGTTTCTATTGGGATCCCCATTGGGATTTCTATTGGGATCTTCACTCAGATTCTTGTTGGGATTTCCATTGGGATCTTCATGAGGATCATCATTGGGATCCTCACTGGGATCACTGTTGGGATCCTCCTTGGGGTTTCCATTGGGATCTCCATTGGGATCCTCATTGGGGTCCTCACTGGGATCTTTATTGGGATTTCCATTTGGCTTCCACATTGGGATCCCCATGGGGGTCCCCATCGGAATCCTCACTGGGATCCTCATTGGGATCCCCATTGGGATCCTCACTGGGATCCATATTGGGATCCTCACTGGGGTTTCCATTGGGATCCCCATTGAGATCCTTACTGGGATCCTCATTGGGATTTCCAGTTGGGTTCCCCACTGGGATCCCCACTGGGATCCCCACTGGGATCCGTACTGGGATCCTCACTGGGGTTTCCATTGGGATCCTCACTGGGATCCGTACTGGGATCCTGATTGGGTTTTCCATTGGGGTCCCCATTGGAATCCCCATTGGGATCTCCGTTGGAATTCTCACTGGGATCTGTATTGGGATCCCCACTGGGGTCCTCATTGGGATTTCCATTTGGGTTCCACATTGGGATCCCCATTGGGGTCCCCACTGGGATCCATGTTGGGATCCTCACTGGGATCTGTACTGGGATCCTCATTGGGGTTTCCATTGGGATCCCCACTGGGATCCCCATTGGGATCTCCATTGGAATTCTCACTGGGATCCGTATTGGGATCCTCACTGGGGTTTACACTGGGGTCCTCATTGGGATTTCCATTTGGGATCCACATTGGGATCCTGATTGGGGTCCCCACTGGGATCCATATTGGGTTCCTCACTGGGGTTTCCATTGGGATCCTCACTGGGATCTGTACTGGGATCCTCATTGGGTTTTCCATTGGGGTCCCCATTGGAATCCCCATTGGGATCTCCATTGGAATTCTCACTGGGATCTGTATTGGGATCCCCACTGGGTCCTCATTGGGATTTCCATTTGGGATCCACATTGGGGTCCCCACTGGGATCCATATTGGGATCCTCACTGGGATCTGTACTCGGATCCTCATTGGGTTTTCCATTGGGGTCCCCATTGGAATCCCCATTGGGATCTCCGTTGGAATTCTCACTGGGATCTGTATTTAGTTCCTCACTGGGGTTTACACTGGGATCCCCACTGGGATTTCCATTTGGGTTCCACATTGGGATCTCCATTGGAATTCTCACTGGGATCCATATTGGGATCCTCACTGGGTTTTCCATTGGGGTCCCCATTGGAATCCCCACTGGGATCTTCACTGGGATCCCCAGGTTGCCCCCTGGCTGGGAGAGGAGAAATCCTTCTGGAACGGGGTTTTGTGGAATTTTGGGTTTTTTACCTTGAAGTCTGTAGGCACTTGGAGCTTTGGGGTGTTGAGTCCAAAAAGCACATCCAGCCCCACAAACATGAGTATGGACATAAAGATGGAGAAATCGCTAATGAGCTTACGGAGCTGCCAGCCAGG